TATTGTGTCTTACTTGACCTCTTAAACGTTAAAGTGGCTTATTGAAAAAGGAAATTCCTACTAACATTAACTTAATTTTCTTGCAACTAAAACCGTGGAAACCTCAATAATATTGACATGTCTACAATTGCTGTTTGCCCACACTGACCCCTTGTAGCCATCTGCTTGTGTTAGCTCATTATCCGCTAATGAAAGAAAAGCAAATCAAATTTGTCTACTAAAATGTGTAATTAGCATATTTATTCGCAATCTAATCACTCTTATTATTTAAAACGGAGAATAAAAATAGTTTAACGTCACAATTAAAACGCAAATTAAAAAGTTACTTTTCCTCGACAAAAACTAATTTTTAATTAGCTATTTAGCAATCTAGGGTTTTGTCCTATAAATAAAAATGAAAAACGTAAATCAATTTTGAAAATCTGACAATATTTACTGAGAAGTTCTGAGACAAAAATATTTTAATGTCCATAGAAGCCTTATGTCCTATCTGGCGTCCTCTTCTCTGCATGCTAATGTTCGCAAATAGTCGCAAATAATGTTCGAATTTATTTTTAAGTGGAGAAAGAACATCAATAAAATATAGTGCTGAAATTTATGTCTGAAAAATCATTATTGTGAAAAGTGGAATTAATAAAAAACGAAACCTGCTTAATTTCTGAAAAAGTTAGTTTTTTTTCTTATAGCTAAAAAATGTTATAGAGGTTCACAATGAGCAATACTACGTTATTTTAATGTTATGATTGTCACATCGATTTTATAATTATTTTCAGAGATCAGCATATTTTTTTTTCATCACTGGACGCATTAAAATAAATATTTCGTTCTTTAAGTAAAAAAAAAATAACAGCAATAGGAATTTTTTGAAAAAATTTTAATGAAATTTATTTTTAATTTGTTGATTCAGAAATATTTGGAAAATTAGTTTAGTTGCAATTAGTTTTACCTGAAATTAATTTTCAAGCAATTATATAAATACTCAGCAGTGAACATGTTCATAAAACATAAGCGTATAAATCACAATAATAAAGGTTTCAAATATTTTTAAACCAATGAGAAATTTTTTTAAAGAGTTTCACAGTATTCTCAAGATTTTTAAGAATAAAATTTAGATTTTCAGCGAGGCTGGTCGAAGCAAAATAAATAATGAAAAGAATAATATAATCCGCATTTCCAATATTAAAGAACGTCGCGTGGAAATTTTGCTAGTACTTGAAGTCCTGGCATGTATGGTTACGTGTTTTTAAATCATTTGTGGTATACGATATTTGTGGTATTTATAAAAATATTTTTCACTTGCTGAAACTATGTTTAAAAATTAATAATATATAAGTCTCTCGAAATCATTGTAAAATGACACCATTTTAAAACGTTCAGATACACAGATATAAGATTTGTGCACCTAACAATTCACAAATCTTCTAGAAATATGTCCATACCATGTGGAATTTTATCTCCAAAATCTCGAATTATAAAGAGTTCTAAGGACAAGTGATGCGAACTCATTTCAGCCGGAATGTTTTAAATAAATTATCAATCGTTTTTAAAATATAAGTTGAAAAACAAATTCTGTCCTATAATAAAAAATGGTTAAGAAAAAAAAATTTTCTTTAATAATTGAACAATTAAATTAGGAATTGGAAAAAGCATTTTTTTTTTTGCCTTATCTCCTTTTCAGAATAAAAATAAATAAATAAGACTATTTCTTGCCAATTTTTAATTCTAAAACCATTCAATAAAAACAAAGCTTATTTATATTCCTCAAAAACTTTTAAATGCGCAAATTAAATCATTCTTTAAACTACAACAAACATTTTTTCCCTCTTATTAAGAAGGAATTATAAATACGAAACAGATAATTTTGTTTCATTTTGTCTTGGCAAATGTCCACTAAAATGATTAATAGTCAGAGGTAATGATTGCTGTTGGCACAAGCCATGTTTTGGCACTTGTACTATTACACACAACTCACGGATTATCACTCTATTTGCTATCCTGTAACATAAATTAAGCAACTTGTTGAACTCCATTAGTAGCTTACGTTAAATTACACTATATTTACATTAAGTGAAACTGGTTTGTTTCATTGCTCATAGTAAAAAAAGTCTATATAGTTTTTCTGCATATTTTGTCCTAAATTTACAAAAAAAAATATGCAATTTATTTTTTAAATAATAATAACATACCATGCTTTTTATATTAATTTAAAATTATGACTTTTATATTCAAAAATGTTTGTCAAAAATTACACTTTATTAGTTTCTGTATTATTTCTGTTTAATATTTTATTAAATAAAATTACTCAATAATATACATTAATCTATTACAATATTATCGGAACATAAAAATTGATTTCTTGATATGAAAATCGATACTTCTGTGTATGAAAATTCTGTATTGTATCAATATGAGATAGCTACTGTATAGTTACTTTACGGATTAATAGGTGGCGCTACTATAGTAAGATATGGTAGAATCTTAGCGTATAAGGATTTAGGCCTAGGGTAGAAAATACCGGACAGTGGTACTTGACTTCAAAAAAAAAAAAAAAAATTAGTGACAGGTATTAGTGACAGGAGCAGTGGCACTTAGCCTTAAAAATCATTAATTTAGTGTATACCGAACTAATGTATATTGAGCAGTGGCATTTAACCTTAAAAAAACATCAGTAGAAGGAATACCGGGCAAATGTATGCTGGGCAGTGGCACTAAAAGAACACCTAAATTACTATAAATAAAATAAATGTCTATTATGCAAGTATATCACGAATTGGAATGATACCGAATATTCAATAAAGAAAAATATTATTCTATATATTCAATATTATATAAAATATTATTCTATGCAAAAATTATTCTTAAATCAAGGCTTATTCTATACATTAGCAAACTTTTGATAGAAAGACACTTTTTGATAGAAAATTAGACTTTTAGTTCTTCTGGTTTATCTAAACTCTTTTTCACCTTTTTAACTCCTACTTGACTTATCCTTCCACTCATCTTTTAACATTTCTCATTTTTCTTGGAACTTTTCCAAAAACTGCTTGAAAAACTCTTAATATTTAAAAAGATATAAATGACTTTTCAAAACTGTGTGAAAAGGTTTTCTGTCGCTTTTTGTAACTAAAAGAGCATTTTCGTAAAGTCAAATATAAAAAAGTATGTACAAGATTTAATATATTTATTTAAACTGGAAAATGTTACATTTTCAAATATTTTATATAATAAATATTTCAAATGGCTTTTGCTTATCAGGGAGCTTAACAAATCATGCCTCTTTTCTTGGTATAGTAGTTAACTAAATAAATTACAAATTCAATTTTTTTTTAAAATAAACAATATGGGTGAAACAAGTAAAGGATTTCGAGAAAAGGCCAATTACAATTCATCTAACTGTTGCGAACTGTTCTATAAAACCTAAGATATTTTTCAAAAGATTTGGTTTTTTCGAAATTATTTAAGAAACTAATTTCTTGAAGTCAAGAATTTTCTTTTTTAAAGATTTGATTTTTTTTATTGCTACACTTCTGAAATTAAACATATTTTTATTTTAGTCGGCATATTTTACCCTAATTAATCCCCCAAATAGTTTGAAATATTTATTATATGAACTGTTTTATAAATGAATACAGAATTTTTTTCAAAAGCGAGAGATAATCTTTATGATTTATAACTACTTATTGAAAATAAATTTAAACAAAAACCTAGCTTGAATAATCTTTCAAAGCCTAAATAAATAAATTTTATAAATTTGAAAGTATTTTTTATTAATTATGGAACTTGAAAATCTATACTATTTTTTATAATTAGGCGAAAGTATTTTTTATAATTAGGCCTAGATAGATTTTCTTGCAAAATTTTCCTTGTAAAATTTTTCTTGTGAAATTTTCCTTGCATAATCATTAGAGAATATTTACAACTTTTAATATCAAAATAATATAGTAAGATAAAAAACTATTAAATAATATAAAATGAAATTTTGCTTTCTGTATTATTCCTCATCTGCAGAATATTAGAAATCGTCTTTTAATTCCTTATAGTTTTCAGTCGTTATAAATTTTAATTCATCTTTTAATTTAGCGATAATCAGTATGATTTATAACTACTTATTGAGAACAAATAAAAAGAAATTAGCATAAATAATTTTTATAAAGCCTTAATGAATTAATTTTATGAATGTAAAAGCATTTTTTATTAATTAAGGAACTTGAAAATTTATACTCATTAGGCCTAAACAGATTTTTTGCTAAATTTTCCTTGCATAATAATTAGAGAAAATATATTTACTATTTTATACATCAAAACAACATAATAAGAGAAAAAATTATTAAATAATATAAAATATTTTTTTCTTGCTTTCAGTATTCTTCTTCATCTGCAGAGTCTTAGAAGTCGTCGTCTTTTAATTCTTAAGAAATCCCATAAAAGGTCATTATATTAAATAAGCTACAATTAGTTGTTAATAACAATCTATATTATAAAACTAATGATAAAAATTTCTATCAATAAGTTATTACTTTTATCGAAAACGGTAGCCATAGTGATAACCTTGTGGCAAAGAAACAGCACAAGAAAGGTCAAATGAAACACCGGCTATAAGTCTCGGCTCTCGAAATTTTACTCTTAAGCCTCGCCGTCCCCAAACTGCTTCCAAAAATGGCTCAATTCTATTAATTAAGAAACAAAATTTAAAAAAAAAGAGGGGAAGAATATTTAATACGGGGGGCAAGCAATACAGTGATCAGTCTCCCCCACGAAACAGTTTCTGGTGCCGATTTCTGCTTTGCAGTAGTGTGATCGAAGGAATCAATAACTCTGTGTCTTTACCGGTGAACGAAGTTACTATTCTGTTTTATCCTCTTCATCATGAAAAGGATAAATGAAGATGATGATAAAGATGAAAGGATAAACAGAGGGTGACAGGGGGAGAGGAGAATGAGATGAAAAATATGCAAAAAGAAATGCAACGATATAAGCGGAGATTAAAATAATGTCCTTACCTGTTCGTGTTGCTTATTTTCGGTGGTCGCCATATTGGGTAAGAGGAATTCAGGATCTGACGGTGCTCCTTCGGTTCCTGAGACCTTTATAAAGGGGGGATGGGTGTGCGATGTGACGTCACGGGAAAAGATGGCGGTGGAGACTGCAAGGATGTGACGTCAACTCCTGGAACCGTCCGCCGGTCAACGCGGAGGAGAGTTGGGGATAATTTTAATAATCACGCGCTTATTACACTCAATTATTAATAACCAACTTTATTACTTCAGTTGCAATTTGTTTAGTGATTAGTTTGTTATTATATTAATAAATATTTATTTTTGCTTGCATTTGTAATAAATTTAAAATATTTTTATTTCAATACTTGCCGCAGTTTTTTTAGAGTACGAAAAAATTAATGCGAATCCTAAATTAAAAAATATTTTTTTTGAGGGGAAAAAGATTTTGGAAATATCGGCTTTGAATTACTTTGCGTTGTTGCTCAGAAAATTTATTTTCCAAAAATTAATTCTCATCATCATCCTCGTTAGCACGACAGCCCAGGGTGTGTTTTTGGCCTTCTCGAGAGCATTTGTACGCATCGTTCTCTGTGTTGAATTAGTTAAGAATTAATTCTAGAGAATCATTATTTTTTCTGAATCTATGCATAAAAACTATTTGTTTCTTATGTTTGGTATGTGTTTTAAAATCACTCTAAATTCTCTCTAAGATGAAATCAATTATGTCCTACTAAACCCCGCTTTGTACAACTTACGCAAAAGCAGATTTTTATAAATAATTGAATTAAAATTGCATGAGATTAAAATAGTTTAATAACATTATAAAGCTTAAAATAAATTAAAATGGAAGATAATTCTAAACTTAAATATTTAAATATATAATGCATGAGATAATGTAAAATAAATATTCTAGTTATATTGTCTTTTCATTTGAAATGAAGGAGGTTCTAATTTAGAAGATGTCCTTCATCGATTTTTGCTTCTGCTTTTAATTTACAACATATTTTCTGTTTCCCATTTCAAATTCTAGACAATTATTTCACGTTGAAATAAAATGATTTCAAGTTATCTATTATGCGCATTACCAACCTTAGTAACGTCTTGCTGCCCGTTATTCTTCCTCTTTATAGCAATCACCCGCCAAGCGCTCTGTAGAGTAGGGGGTAGCGGGTTCGAATCACTCCGTAACTCTGGATGTATCTTCATGTTAACAAAAGTTTAAAAGTCGTATTTATGTAAATGAGCGCACAAGCCTGCATGCATGTGTACCAATAAATAAATGAAATAAATAAATGGTAGGCCTGCCAAACGTGGTGCGTAGCGTGGAGGTAACGGGTTCAAATCTCGCTGTTATCCTGAATGTTTCTTTGTGTTGCCCGTCTCTGTATTGCGCTATCTGTCCTTCGATTTGACAAAGGCTTGTAAGCCTTTGTCACAGCGAGCACACAAGAATGCATGTTATACCAATAAATAAATAAATACAAATCATTGGGGGCTTCCCTGACCAAGTGGTATCGCTCGAAAAACCCTGTGCAAAGCGTAGAGGTAACGGGTTCGAATCCCTCTGTTACCCTGGATGTATCTTAGTGCTGTTCTTCTCTGTATTGTGCCATCTGTCCTTCAATTTGATAATGGTTTATAAGTCTAATTGAGCACACAAGCCTGCAAATGTATATGTAATTCCAATGAACCAATAAATAAAACCAAATCCTTGCATACAAATCGTTGAATGAAGGAACTAGTCAGTCAGTTCAATTGAGTAGGGCAAAATTCTTCATTGGGAAAAGAAAAAATAGGCAAACTATCATCCAGAAATCAGGTAAATGTTTCCACTTTAAACAAATTTTTATATCTTTTAATGTCTTAATTACCTTTTCCCATTACCTCGTTAAATCATAACCTGGCTTATGCACGCTGAATTAACGAGAGCTGGAAAATCGATAGTTGAAAAGTTTGACTCCGAATTCGAACTTTTTTAAGAACTCTACTCCAACTTTTACTCGGTTGAAATTTCCCCCGAATCCTCAGGGAAATATTATTGCAAATATAGTATAAACTTAAAATTATGTAGGCAGGATTGTAGATAAAGGTATTTCATTTAAAATAATATTTTAAATTATAAAAACGCAGTTGAAGAAATAAATTTTGCAACGTGAAGCAAAAATTTTAAAAAATTTTGAAATTTTTCAAAACTGTTATAAGAAAAGAGCTATATACACACGTACACTGAAAATACTCAATTACTAAAAGATTCTTCAGAGAATATTTTGGAACTGGGTAACTATTACAAATTAATTCATTTGTATATCGTTTTAATTAACTTTTTCAAAATGAGCTAAATGAATTTGTTTTTTGGAATTCATGATTTTTTTTCAATAGTGTAATGAAACATTTGCGGAAAACGTTCAAATGTGATAAATTATGTTTGCAATAAATTCTTTTAATAACTGTCACAATATACTAGCAACATTTTTGTTCGCATACTAAATATAAATTTCTATTTATATAATTTTTATTATATCAAAAGCTTAGCTTTATCTTTTAATCTAGTCCCGCGGTGGACTGATAGTAAAGACTCGGTTTCCAGTATAACACCGAAGTCAAGCATCACTGGATGCGGTCAGTAAGCGAGTGGGTGACCACTTTGATCAGCCTGCGTAGGGACCCACGATGCGAGCTATTGGTCCTCGTTTAACCGTAAAGTGCTCAACTTCGCGGGCAGGTTGTCGGGCCACCAAAGCAGGGGAGCCATCCTCTTTATAGAGGATCAAAATTGTGATGGATGTTTCCCAGACGGTCGCCAATAGCCCATTATTCAGTTTTAGTGCGACGTAAACAAAGTACCTACCTACCTACCTTATCTTTCAATCTAATTTTTAACCAACCAGAGTCGTAATCGAGAAAATTTTTCCATATCTGAATCCTCGTCTCATATTGCACATCATTGAACTTATCGTTTTATTTATCACAAAATTAACGTTGATATCCCTAATAGTATTATCATAACGTTATTTATCACTGAGACTTTTAGATGAAAAGTTTCAAATTTCTGTTTGAAAGAATGTCTGTTATATGCAAAACTTATTTTTTTTTAACAAAAAAAATTCAACAATTTGTCAAGTCCAGTAGTAGTAACCCTCCAGCACGGCAGCAGGCGCTGCAGATCATCACACGATCTGCAGATATTTTTTGTCTCAAATTTCAAATTATAATAAACTGCTAGCAATACAGTGAAGATTTTTTTCATTTTATAGAAAATAAAGTTACTAGATGAAATAGAGATAAGAAAAAAGTAAAAACTTTTTTTTTCTATTCTCAATTATGAATAATAAATAATCGCCCCTCCCCTTTTTAAAATCGGGCACCTAAAGCAATTCATCAAGCAAACAACTTGCAAGTAGTGCTTGGAATATAAAGTTGCAGAAACTTAAGTTTAAGGAGAAAAAAATTTATTAAAGGCTCTGATACAATTATAATCACTAAAATATATGAATTCATAAGAAGCCGAAACCAATTTTCAAAAAAAAGAGGGGGGGGGGGAATGCTTTTTTTTTCTTCTTATTTTGCATTTTTTTTTTACCCAAAATGCTACTCTTCCAGATTTGAATCTGAAGTAATCTGGTTTGATATTCTGATTAGATTATATATGTAGAAGAAACTGTTTAGATATTTAGAAGCCTTAACTATGAATTTATTTCATTTCTCTTAAGTATTGTTGCGTAAGTTTCAAATTAAATTTTTAAAAAAAACGCATAAATTATGTAGATTATTATTATCTGTTCCATGTTTACAAGGGCAAATTTTATTATACTTATGTATGTTTAAGTGAGCCATATTCTAATGATAGATAGAAGAAGTTTAATCTGAAGTGTTATATTTTCGAGATATTTCTTGAATAAATCTTTAATTTGCTATCAATTTGCTTCTCTTTAGTTATTCAGATGCTTTAACTGTTTTTTTTATTCCATCTTTCTTTTAAGCATTAATATATCCAAGAAAGCATGCAACCTTACGGCAACCTTGCGTCGGAATTTTCTTATTATTATCACGAAAAGGTTTTTATTAAAAACCTTTTTTCAATAAAGTAAAAATATTGCAGTTTCAAACCTTTCATCCTAAAAGGATTAAAAGTTATTTTTTAAAGCTTTTCTAAAAAGTATTGTCACTTAGGTGAAATGGTCACTGAAGCCCATTATGACTTTTTAGCTGACGTCACACTAGCGATAGGATCAACTTGCATTGTCCATTAAAATTTCAAGACAAGGTGGATTTTAGTTCAGGATACAAGAGTTACAGAAAGGAAACCTTATAATTACCTAGATTTAAGATTATTTTCACCTTGAGACTAGCTTTATTAAAGGATTTTTTTACGCTTGAAAACCCTAAGTCAAACTCTATTTAAGGTTTTTGTATAGAAGGTTGATTTTCAAGGTTTTGGATTAGTGCGCAGAATAGAGTACATTGTCACAGATCTCGTTTTAAGGTTAGAAGGTAAACCGCATAACAAACCTTTTTAGGTTTACATTAAAAGGTTTTTGCTGAGTGAAAATAAACCTTATTTTGCTATCCGGGATAAATTACAAAGTAAGTTTAATGATAAATTTCTTGTATTTAATTTTTATCTACGATTTACAAATTCAAATTTTGCTATAATTTCAAGACTGTCAACTTTCTATGCTTTTTGAGAAAATTTATTCTAGTGGTAGCTAAGTTAATGCTTTAATGTATGATTGTTTGTTTCGTAAATTTGAAATTATTTTCCGCACCACTGCATGTAATGATTTATAAATTCATATGAAATGTAATTTTGTTCCGGCTCTCTCATAGTGAGGCTTTTAAACTGTTGTCAAAATTTGCCAAAATATCAGAAATCTTGAATTTCTAATTGAATACCACTCTAAAAAATATTTTCCAAAAATCGTAAGCAGCCTTGTAAGTTTTTTTTTCTCTCTTTTTTTATGTAAATTGGGAACCGCTGTTTTAGATCATTCGGAAGAGGATGTTTTGATCTACCGAAGTCGTTTTTGTTCATATTAATTTATGTCAATTAAAAACATAAAAGTTGAAATTTTTAAGCTAGAAGAAAGAACTTTTCGGTTTTCTTTTTCTTTTAATCAGAA